GACAGAGTCTTGCTCTATAGCCCAGCCTGGAGTGCACAATCACAGCTCACTGCAACCTCCGCCTCCTGGGTTCAAGCGATTCTCCTGCCTCAGCCTCCTGAGTAGCTGGGATTACAGGCACCCACCACCACACTTGGCTAATTTTTTGTATTTTTAGTAAAGATGGGATTTCACCATGTTGCCAGGCTGGTCTCAAACTCCTGAGCTCAGGCAATCCACCTGCTTCAGCTCCCCAACATGCTAGGATTACAGGTGTGAGCCACAGTGCCCAGCCTACTTTTGGAGTGATTTTTATAAGTGTGAGGTAGGAGGCAATAGACAGGAGCCCTGCCACGGGAGAGGCTGGCCTGGGGTGCTGTGTGGGGCTGTGAAAATGCTACGGGTGGTATTAGGCGGGAAGGGAGTGTGAAAGAATTCCATTCTAAAACAGGATAGTTAGGGAAGGTCTCAGATTTGGTACTAGAGGGAGATGCGAAGGTGCTGAGCTATCCAGGGTGGGAACCACTGTCAACACCCTACAAGCGGGAGAGGCCTGGTGCTCCTGGTGCCTGTTGCTGGAGCTGGAAAAGCAAGTGCAGCTGGAACAGAGTGGGCAATGGTGAGAGGAAGAGGAGGTGACGGCAGAGAGGCGACAAGGAACTTCACACAGGGGTGTGGGAAATCTTGTGTGGACTCCGGGTTGGATTCTGAGGCAAGTCTGTGCCCTCAGAAGGTTTGCGGCTGAGGGACCTGGCTGGGGATGACTGAGCTGCTGCTGACTTAGCTGACAACTGAATGAGGAGAGCAAGTGTGCAGGCACGGAGTCCAGTCAGGAGGCTACGGCGGGAACTGTCGGGAACGCAGGAAGCATGGACTGTGACTTATAGTCTAGGCCATAGTGGGGGGTGTGGTGACCGTGGCCTATTTCTGGAAGTAACTTCAGGCTTGGCATGAAGGATTTGCTTGTGGATGTTGTGCTGGGTGTGAGAGATGAGGCAGTCACAAGAATCCTGGCTAGGTGAATGGGATGATTAGTTGGAAGGAGACCAGTGGCTGCGAGTTCAGCTCAAGGTGTCCAGGAGACGTCCAGGTGGACTTGTTGGGGGAATAAATGCATAAGATCCTGGGGTTCAGGAGAGAGACCCAGGACAGGAGAGGCATTTGGGAACCATGTGCCTTCAGGAAGAAGGGATGAGGTCACCAATGGGAGTGGATGCTTTAGAGAAAAGTTCCAACACTGACAATGGTGGGGGCATTTCAACATTGAAAGGTTGGCACAGTGACGTGGAACCAGCGAGGAGACCAAGGGCTTGTCTACGAGGTAAAAAAAACCATGGGACAGAGATGCTGAAGGCCAAGAAAAAAATATTTCAGGCCAGGCACAGTGGCTCATGCCTGTAATCCCAGCACTTTGGGAGACTGAGGCGGGCAGATCACTTGAGGTCAGGAGTTCCAGACCAGCTTGGCCAACATGGTGAAACCCCCTCTCTACTAAAAATACAAAAATTATTCAGGCATGGTGGCACACACCTGTAATTCCAGCCACTCAGGAAGCTGAGATAGGAGAATGTCTTAAACCCAAGAGGTGGAGGTTGTAATGAGCTGAGATTGCACCACTGCACTCCACCCTGGAAGACAGACCAAGACTCCATCTAAAAAAAAAAACAAAACAAAACAAAACAAAAAACAAATCAAAACAAAAAAAAATTTTTCAGAAAGAAGCGATCAACCATGATCTGCCTGTTGGGCGGGAAAGGCAGGTGGAGTTGGAGGGGAAGGAAGTAGAGTGCCTTGGGATGAGGAGAGAAAATGGAAACAGCAGGCCAGGGCATGGTGGCTCACGCCTGTAATCCTAGCACCTTGGGAGGCTGAGGCAGGCGGATTGCCTGAACTCAGGAGTTTGAGACCAGCCTCGGCAATATGGTGAAGTCCAGTCTCTACCAAAATACGAAAAAAAAAAAAAAATTAGCTGGGCATAGCAGTGTGCCCCTGTAATCTCACTTACTCAGCAGGCTGAGGCAGGTGAATTGCTTGAACCTGGGAGGCGGAGATTGCAGTAAACCGAGATTGTGCCATTGCACTCCAGCCTGGGCAACAGAGCAAGACTCCATCTCAAAAAAAAAAAAGTGAAGGCAGACAATTAGGCTTGACTTTGCTGTTAAGGGGCATAAAGCAGTGAGGTTGCAAGTGGAAGTGGGATCAAGAGAGGGTTTTAGGAGAGAACTGTGCTGAACGAAGGGAAAGAAGGTTGGCACACCCCTTGACAGGGATGAAGAGGCCCTGGGGCATGACAACACGCACAGGGTTAAGGTACTACCACCTACTTCTGGCATCTAACCCTCGTTTTTTTAATCTTTTTATTTCTTTTTCTGGTTTCTTTCTTTTTTTTTTTTTTTTAGGCGGAGTCTCGCTGTGTCCCCAGCAGGCTGGAGTGCAGTGGCGCAATCTCAGCTCACTGCAACTTCCGTCTCCCAGGTTCAACAGGTTCAAGCGACTCTCCTGCCTCAGCCTCCCGAGTAGCTGAGATTACAGGCGCACGCCACCATGCGCAGCTCATTTTTGCATTTTTAGTAGAGACTGGGTTTCATCATGTTGTCCAGCCTGGTCTCCAACTCCTGACCTCAAGTGATCCGCCCGCCTTTGCCTCCCAAAGTACTGGGATTACAGGAGTGATCCACCGCACCTGGCCTTTAAATCTTTTAAAAAATAAAAAGAGAACAAAGCCACATGTTTCCACTCGATGGGACCGTCTCCGGGAAGAAGGCCAAAGGGAAAAGCGCAGGAAGGACGTCCTGGAGTGAGGAGACAGGGGAGACCTGGAGAAGTTGGGGGTCGGGAGGGAGGGAGGCCGCCCAGACGCCGGCGCGAGGAGCTCATGGTGTGATGCATGGGACGCCAAGCTGGGCGAGAGCCAAAGGCAAGAAGGTGGGCAGTGGCTGCAGCAGGCGAGCAGATCTCCTGATGGCTGCTCTCAGGCGAAACCTAGGCCGAGTGTGCAGCGAGTCGAGCAGGGAAGATACCTTGGGAGAGTGGCTGGCGCAAGCCCGCAGAGGGTGTTGAGGACAGTGTGTATCGGCTGCCGTGCGCTCTGGCGCCGCGCAGGGTGGAGTCCTGGGCCGGGCCTGAGAAGTGCGGTGCGCCCAGGGTTTCGGGGACGCAGGCTGTGAGATCCACGGAGGTTGGTCCGGCCCTGCCACCTCTCTCCATTCGCAGGCTAAGCTCTGGGGCCCTACCCTGTGCCCCCAGTGCCTGCTGCGCGGGGCCCAGGCCGCCCGTGCCCTGCCCGGCCCTCCCCAGGGCCTGCGCGCCTCACCTCGGGGTTCCATCTCCCTGGTTTCCACTAGAGACGGGGTACGTGGGGCTCTGGCAAGGCGAAGGGTGATGCTTGTTTACCATCACCATGGAGACGGCGGCGGGTGGGTCGCCAGGCGTGGTGGGCGGGGGAGAGGCTGCTCTATCCCCAGCGCTCCCTTCTCCAACCCCTACCCCTTGTCTTGGGCCCACCAGGCCCGGTGAGCCCGCCTCAGGAGGAGCGCACACCTGGCTCTGACCTGCAGAACCGCCAGGGGATAGAGTGAAGTCTGTGATAAATAGTTAACAAGGAAAATTAACACATCTCATTCTAGTTTATTTCTGTGCTCGTGGAAATAGTGAATGATTTAGAATCCTATGACGGTGTGGCAGTGTCCTCTTTCACACCCTCAGGTGGTTCTGACGCACTCTGGATGTAGGATGCTCTGGCTAGTGCCAGATGGTGCTGAGTTCACGCTTTCCAGTTTGTCATTTCACCCTCAAGACAGTGCTGTGGAGGGGTCACTAAGAGTCTGAATCAGCAGGTGGGCATTGGTAATACCAGTAAGGACACCGCAGGTCTGTCCAGCTCCACCCTCTGCTACATTTTTTTTTTTTTTTCGAGACAGGATCTGGCTCTGCTCCCCAGGCTGGAGTGCAGTGGTGGGATCTCAGTTCACTGCAACCTCCACCTCCCAGGTTCAAGTGATCCTCCCACCTTAGCCTCCCAAGTAGCTGGGACCACAGGCAAGCACTGCTGTCCAATTAATTTTTGTATTCTTTGTAGACACAGGGTTTCGCGATGTTGCCCAGGCTGGTGTCAAATTCTGGGCTCAAGCAATCCACCCTTCTTGGCCTCCTAAAGTACTGGGATTACAGGCGTGAGCCACCACGCCCAGCCTATTGTTCATTTTTCCAGTTGCCATTTTCCCCCAAATATATAGAAAACAATATGCCTCATATTTCACCAATGTTAATATCTTCCCAGTACCATGAGCAGGACACTGTCTGCATTGATTCTGCTGAGACTAATGGCAGCAAGCAGAGGGCAGTTTATTGGTGTTCGGCCCTCTGTGTCCCTAACAGAAGTCCCTGCCAGCGGCAGCCTTCCAGCCTGGGCCTCTGGAGGTGGAGTTCTCCCAGCTGGCCCAGGGATACGGTGCTGTGGCCCAAGCGCTGGCTCATCAGGTCAGAAACAGAAAATCAGCCTCAGAATCTCTCATCTCTGGCCAGCATTCTCCCTGATGACTGAGTCACAATTGTCCTGTTCCTGATGGGTGTGGTCATAGAACAGTGCCTGTGGGTGGTTTTCCCTCTGGAGTCTCCCCAGGACTCTTGTGACCCAAGGAGTGCACAGTGTGCATGTGAGTGCACATCACACACGCACTGTGCACAGGCCCCTCGTCCTCAGCGGCACCCCGAGATCAGGCACTGGGCAGGTGTTTATCAATGTGCAGCTGCTCTGACCCGGCACCAGGATGGCTGTGGTGTGTGTGAGGCCCTGCCCCTCCCAAGAGCTCTCAGAATTGGGGTGAGGTATGCAGAGGAAGCAGCCACCTGTCACAGAAGATGGAGTAGTAAAGTTAAGGGAAAGGTATGGCTGGGCATGGTGGCTCACACCTATAATCCCAGCACTTTGGGAGGCTGAGGCAGGAAGATCACTTGAAGCCAAGAATTCAAAACCAGTCTAGGCAATATCATGAGACACTGTCACTACAAAAAAAAAAAGTTTTTTTTTTTTTGCCTTAGCCAGGCCTGGTGGTACATGCCTGTTTTGCAGCAATGGGGCAGGCTGAAGCAGGAGGATTGCTTCAGCCCAGGAGTTTGAGGATGCAGTGAGCTGTGATCACAGCACTGCCCTCCAGCCTGGGTGACAGAGCAAGATCCTGTCTCAAAAAAAAAATAATAATAAATATATGGACAAACAGCTGAGGAGTTGAGATGCCAGCAATCAGGAGGCTTTCCTAAGAAGGGGAAATTAGCCCTGGGCTCTGGAGAAGACATGGAATTTCTGATGTGGGAGGGTGAGGGGGTGGACGCCGCCAAAATCTCCCCTGGACTCCCCCAGTATCCCCTCTGTCCCTGCCTCCTTGCTCTTCCAGCTCTGAAGCAGGCTGTCACTTGCTTCTCTCTCTCATCCCTCTCTTTTCTTTATTCAAGAAAAGCTACTAAAACTTGGTAAGAGCAGCAGAAGTCTATGGCATTTGAACCATATCCTGCTCCCTCCCTACCCCCCTCCCAACTCAGCTTGACAGAAGATCTACTCTGGGCTGCTGCAACCAAGAAAATAGGGCTCTGGCCAGTGCAGTGACTCATGCCTATAATCCCAGCACTTTGGGAGGTTGAAACGGATGGATCATTTGAGGTCAGGAGTTCGAGACCAGCCTGACCAACATAGTGAAACCCCATCTCTAGAAAACATACAAAAAAATTAACCAGCTGTGGTGGCATGTGCCTGTAGTCCCAGCTACCCCAGAGGCTGAGGCAGGAGAACGCTTGAACCTGTGAAATGGAAGTTGCAGTCAGCCAAGTTCACACCACTGCACTCTAGCCTGGGTGACAGCATGAGACTCTGTCAAAAAAGAGAGAAAGAGAGAGAGAGAGAGTGAGAGAGTGAGAAAGAGGAAAGGAAGGAAGGAAGGAAAGAAGGAGGAAGGAAGGAAGGAAGGAAGGAAGGAAGGAAGGAAGGAAGGAAGGAAGGAAGGAAAAGAAAATAGGGCTTCCTCTCCCCTTAGCTCCCAATGAGGGGCTACTTCAACTCCAAGGTGAAGGGGCAGCACCTTGTTTTGTGTGGCCAAGAGGTGAGGGACTCCCTTGACACATAGTATAGAGGCTCTACTGCAGGCACAGCAGGCAAAAAATATAAGGTTCTCACAACCCTTACCCAGCTCACTGGCAGGGCAGAGGTTCACTCCAGAAGAAAGAAGCCGAGAAGACCAAGGCTGCCACACCCACCCAGCTCCTTGAGACGTGGGCCACAGATATCCAGGGGGAGCAGCACACAATAAAACAAGAAAGCTGTGGCTGGGTACTGTGGCTCACACCTGCAATCCCAGGGACTCAGGAAGCTGAGGCCAGAGGATCACTTGAGACCAGGAGTTCCAGACTAGCCTGGGCACATACCAAGACTTCCATTTCTAAAAACAAATAAATAAATAAATATAAATAAAAAAGAAGGCCAGGTGCAGTGGTTCATGCCTGTAATCTCAGCACTTTGGGAGGCCGAGGCAGTCTGATTACTTGAGCCCAAGAGTTTGAGACCAGCCTGGACAAACCCCATCTCTACAAAAAATAAAAAGAATTGGCCAAGCACAGTGGCTCATGCCTGTAATCCCAGCACTTCGAGAGGCTGAGATGGGCAGATCATTTGAGGTTAGGAGTTCTAGACCAACCTGGCTAACATGGTGACAACCTGTCTCTCCTAATAATACAAATACTAGCTGGAGGTGGTGGCATGCACCTGTAATAGCAACTACTCAGGAGGCTAAGGCACGAGAATCGCTTGAACCTGGGAGGTAGAAGTTGTAGTGAGCTGTGATTTCACCACTGCACTCCAGCCTGGGTGACGGAGTGGGACTGAATCAAAAACAAACAAACAAAAAATAAGCAGGGCATGTTGGCACATGGCTGTAATCCCAGCTACTCAGGAGGCTGATGCCAGAGAATCACAAGCTCAGGAGGTAGAGGTTGCAACAAGCTGAGATTGTGCCACTACACTCCAGCCTGGATGACAGAGTGAAACCCTGTCTTAAAATAAAATAAAATAAAATAGGCTGGACACGGTGGCTCATGCCTGTAATTCCAGCACTTTGGGAGGCTGAGACAGGCAGATCACCTGAGATCAGGAATTGAAGACCAGCCTGACCAGCCAGGCACGATTGCTCACGCCTGCAATCCCAAAATTTTGTGAGGCCAAGGCAGATGGATCACTTAAGGTCAGGAGTTCAAGACCAGCCTGACCAATATGGTGAAACCTTGTCTCTGCTAAAAAAAAATACAAAATTAGCCAGGCGTGGTGATGCATGCCTGTAATCCCAGCTACTTGGGAGGCTGAGGCA